TATTGTTATTATTATCATTTATATTATCTTATCTTTATATTATCTTTTTTTCTTTTTATACTCTTTCTCTTTCTGAACTTCCTCTCTCCCTTTCTCTCTCTCTCTCTCTCTCTCTCTCTCTCTCTCTCTCTCTCTCTCTCTCTCTCTCCTCTCTCTCTCTCTCTCTCTCTCTCTCTCTCTTCTCGTCTCTCTCTCTCTCTCTCTCTCTCTCTCTCTCTCTCACTCTCCTCTCTCTCGAACTCACTCCCCCCTCTCCCCTCTCTCTCTCGCTCTCTATCCCTCTCTCACTCTCTCCCTCCCCTCTCTCTGTCACTCACTCTCTCCCTCTCCCCCCTCTCTCTCTCACACTCTACCCCCCCTCTCTCCCTCCACCCATTCCACTCCATCTACTCCCTCTCCGCCCTTCACTCCCTCACCTTCCGTAAGTCGAGGTGACGGCGGAGATCCCGGCGCCCAACACACTCCGGGAGAAGGAGGGCGACGGGGACTCCGAACCGTCGCTGGAGGGAGGACGAGGACGAGGACGAGCCGCCGAGCCCCAGACGAGGGGGACCGTCAGGAAGTCGTCGATGTCCTGGTTGACTTTCTCGGCGTGGCTGACGTGGGCGTGGTAACCAGTGCCGCCCATGGGGTTTGATGCGGATGCGCGCGACGTATTCTGGGGGGGGAAGGGGGAGGTGGGTGGAAGGGGAGGGAGGGGGGGGTGGGGTGAGGTGGGGTGGAAGGGGGGGAGGGGTGAGGGGGGGGGGAGGGAGGGAGGGGGTGTGGTGGGTGAGGGGAGGGGGTGAGAGGAGAGGTAAGGGGAGGGAGGAAAGGAGAGGGTGAAGATAGGGAGTGAGCAGCGGGGGAGGAAAGGAGAAGCCAGGGGGTCAACGAGAAGAAAATTAAGGGAGGGGGAACAAAGATGGAGGAGAAGATAGGGGTGGAAAGGGAAAAAAATCGAGGAGGGGGGGGGAAGATACCAAGGGGTTGGGGCGAATATAAATGGTGGGGCATGAGAGGTGGACGGCGAAGATGGAGTTTAGGGGTGGCAGAAAAATGGTGTGGAAGATAATAGGAGGAGATAAGACAGTCGTAAATAAGGGAAAAGGAAAGTGTGGTCAAGAATAGTAGAAACAAAGCAAAAAGGGGGAAGAGGACGAGGAAGATAAAGGAGAAGATAGATAGAGAAGATAAAGAAGGAGAAGATAGATAGAGATAAAGAGAAGATAGATACAGAGGATAAAGAAGAAGATAGATACAGAAGATAAAGAAGGAGAAGACAGATAGAGAAGATAAATAAGAGAGGAAGAAAATACACGACAGTAGAATAGGTAAACGGGGGTAGTAGATAAAAGAGAGGAAGTGAAGAAGGGATGATGAAGAGAGCAAAGGGGGGAGAGGGAAGGAGGGGAAATAGGGGGAGCGAAGGTGGGCTGCTTAGTTCTCTGATTCGTTGTTTTGTTTGTTTGTTATGAGAAGGAAGCTCAATTTGTGGATATTTATCTGATACTACTACTATTAATGATGATGATAAGAGTAATAATAATATTGACAACAACAACAACAATAATAATAATAATAATAATAATAATAATAATAATAATAATAATGATAACATATAATTAATGCAATGACAATAATGATAATGATATGATAATGATAATTAATAATAATCATAATAATCATTAATAATATAATAATAATAATACCAGTAATAATAAGCTACAACAATAATAATAGTAATGATAATATGAATAATAACTATAAAACATTATGATAAAATGATAAAACCAATAATAATAATAATAATAATAATATTAATAATAATAATAATAGTAATAATAATGATAACAATAACGATAACAATATTGATAAAAATAAAAACAACAAATTTAGTAATAATCAAAAATAATAGTAATGATAATAATAACAACGACAATACCAATCATCATCATAATAATAACAACACACTCCTCCACATAAATCAGTTGAACAAACAAGAAATGAACATTATTACCAAATACTACACAAATCTCGATAATTCTTTCCCGAACAGACAAACTAGCCCGAGAGTAGGAGGAAGCTGACGGCGATAGAATATTAGGAAGGGCATCCGGCTACGCAACGCCACGGTGCAAGACGTAGGGCCCAAGACAGGGATTATTCCTGTTATTATTTTTTATTATTAGCATTGTTGTTGTTGTTATTATTATTATTATTATTATTATTATTATTATTATTATTATTATTATTATTATTATTATTATTATTATTATTATTATTATTATTAATTATTATTATTATCATTATTATTATTATCTAACTACTACTATTATGATTGGTATTATTATTGCTATTAATATAATTATCATCATTATTATAATGATTAACATTATTATTATTACTATTATTATTATTGTTATTATTATTGCTATTAATATCTTTATCAGCATTATTATGGGTATTATTATAATTTTAACTACTGCCATTATCATTATTGTTATCAATACTATAGTTG